GTCCACCTAGGCCCTCTTAAGAAGGAAGAGCTTTACTGTAGGGAACAGATAGTTCACAGAACCTCTGGGACACCTAAACAGGAAGTGCTTCTTTAATTCCATCTACTAGAAAGGGGGGACTGACACTGAAGGGCGCTGTCAAGTTGGGGACAGGGCGTCCAGAAGCTTGGGGGGCAGCCAAAATGCCAGATTTAATTATAAACTCTTTACATTTATATATTATAATGTTAAGCAGGAGTTTGTTACTTGGGGGTTTTGGTACCTGTTCATTTAACTGTTATGTTTTTAGGGACTTCTTAATGATTGGATAGACTATTTTAGGTTTTTTCTTTAGAAAATAAAATCCAACGGTATAAGGTGTTTCTTTCTATAGCGTCCCTCAGTTTATCATTTTTTTCTGAGCACCATTTGTCCTTGGAGAGAACATTATTTCTACTAAAAATGCTTTCAATACTCCTACGAGTAATTTGTTTTGACCTGTTTTGCACAAATTTATTTCTCTAGTGCTTTGCAAGCATTGTAAAATATCTGCTACCCAAATTAAGCAAGTTTTGCAGTATGATATGAACAAATAATTTATCCTTTCCCTCTGACTTCTATAATGTGTACTTTTTAATTGGCTACTATGTGGCTTGCTTAAACTTTTTGCTCAATGGCATATTTACTAGTTCAGAGAAAGTTTTTAGAAATAATGAATTTGTTTTTTTAATGGAAGGATTAGAAAGTTCATTTCATAGCATATTAGCAGGTATGAAATATACTGTAGTCTTTCTTCAGAGGAGAGCAAAATTACACCTTTTCGTATTTATCCCTGTATTTTTATGTATTCTTTTATATTAGGTAAAGAACAAGCCAGTTTCTTTTCTCTAATTAGTTTCTTAAGTTCTCATTTCCTGTTCATTGTCTTTAAGTCAGTATCAGCTCTATTTTTAACAATTTTTTTTTAATTTTAGATTTTATTTATTTATAGAGAGGGGAAGGGAGGGAGAAAGAGAGGGAGAGTAACATGACTGAGCGGTTTCCTCTCATGCGCCCCCTACTGGGGACCTGGCCTGCAACCCAGGCATGTGCCCTGACTGGGAATCAAACTGGCGACCCTTTGGTCACAGGCTGGTGCTCAATCCACTGAGCCACACCAGCTAGGGCATCAGCTCTATTTTTAAATGCATTTAAAAAAAGTAAAATGATATAAATACACCTGAATTCCTAACTGCTAGTTCCTCTTGGGGGTGATTAAATATGGCTAACCCTAGACTTTCAGAGAATGTTATAAATGACATCTTTCTTTATAAAGAGAAAAAAAAATTACTTTCTAAGATTACATAGTAAATCAGAGAAAGAGCTGGGGCTTATCTCTGAGGACCTTCAGTCACCCTGTGGTCTACTTGGTAGAATTCTTCTAATGGTATCAATAGGTTTGTTGAATATTATTCTTCTACTTGTATCAGTAGTCTTGTTGGATATTGTTTTTCTCTTGAAAATGCAAGTCAGACTGTATTATTGGGTGTTCTGGTAGATTCCTGAGGTGAGGGGCAGAGGCAGTATCCTGAGTTTTCTTTTTGTTGGAAATTGTCTTTGAGTACAAGAACCATGCCCTATTTATTATTGTCTTCCCTGAAGTGTCTAACGCATAACAGATGCTCAGTAATATTGTTGAATTGAGCTGAGAAAGTGAATCATTTGATAAAAATAAAGGAAAAAGAAGTTGGCTCTTTGACATACAGGAGACAACTAAAGTTTAAAGTGTCAGATAAATGGTTAGAACACTGACCAGTGTTCTACCAAGCAGTAGAACTGTGTTCACTAGGTTGTATGGGTGCAGGGTTATATCCACATACAGTTCTAGCATAGCTAAAGGTTCAAGTCCTAATCATTTATCAAAATTTCAAGAACAGTCTCAGTGCTCCCGTGTTAATGGATGAAGCTATGTTATATGAGCAACTTTAACTCTCTTCCATTGGCCCCTCTTCGGTTCCTCTAACCCGTGTCGCGTCTCACTCCCTTGCCGTGGGAAACAGCCCCTTCCGTGCTCTCGTTCCATGCTTTCCTGCCGCCTCTAGGGACTAACTGCCTCAGTCATCTCTGACTTTCAGTATCTTCAGTTCTACTTCTTGAGTTAGTGGCACATTAGTGTTATTTTCCAGCCTTCCTACCCTTACAGAAAGCCTTCCCTTGGCTCTTTTCTCCCTCAGGCTACTATCTTTTGTCTTCCCCTTGCCATCAACATTACACAAGCAAGGTTTTATTCCATTTTTCCCTTTTTCACCTGACACAATTTACTCTTTTTATCTTTGATACTTTTTACTTTTCTTCAGCCTTTGACATTCTTGCCTACTTTTATAGCTCCTATAGTCCAAGGAGGTAGGTTTTGGAGTAGGCAGGCTTGGGTTTGGATTCCTGCTCTGTGTGACCTTGGATAAATTCATAGCCGAGTCTGATTTCCTCATTTGTGAAAGGCACCTACATGTGAAAGTACTTGCCGTAGAGATCAGGGAAATGTGCTCCATAAATGTTCCTTCCCATCCTTGTTTTGCTTGGTTTCTGACACATTGCACTATCCTGTATTGCCATCTCATTTATGAGGTGGGTGGTATTACTGTCTCCGTTTTACAGATGAGGAAGCTAAGATGTTGTCGAAGGTGGTGCTGCTGGGATCCCGCCCCAGCGCTGACTCTAGAATCTACACCTAAGTCTCTGTGCTATATTGCCAGCATACTTAAGTTGTTGGAAGTTACAGTTTCTTTCATTTGTCAATATACCTGTTTCTCCTTATACAGGGAGGGGCGAATGCAGAGTTACTGTATGTGAAACAGTTGATTCTTGTATTATTCATTATTGTATTATTTTCCATATGAACTATAAACCTACTTTTGCCCCACCCTGTATGATGTCTGTCTGATGAAAATATCTTTAGTTCATATAGTTGGCCCTTCAGCAACACAGGTTTGAACTGCATGGGTCCATTCACACATGAGTATTTTTCAGTAAATACAGTAAATGTATTTTCCTTATGATTTTCTTAAAAACATTCTGTTCTCTAGCTAACTATATTGTAAGAATATGGCATATAATATAAAAATATGTGTTAATTGACTGTTATCAGGAAGGCTTGTGGCCCACAGCAGGCTATTTCACTGCCGGCCCTTTGCATCTGCAGACTCCCAAGTGCGGATCAAAAATACCGACTTCATTCTACAGTTAATCGAACCTGTGGATGTGAAACCTGCTGATACAAAGACACAACTGTAGTTAAGTTTTGAGAGAGTCAAAACCTAACATGCAGGTTTTCAACTGCATAGTGGGTTGGCACCCTAACCCCTATGTTGTTCAAGAGTCAACTTATTTCACAAAATGCCTGAACCAGCAGAGCTTTTTTATTGAAATTTTTTTCCCAATTTTACCTAGCATGTGTGTGTGACACAGAGCAGGCAACTGGGGCCCTTAGGTGGCTCTTTTAAATGAAATTAATTGGTGGCCAGCAGAAGAAGTGTAGCAAGAGATGGAGTTTTATGTTTTGAGAATGCTAGATAGTAAAGAGCCAAACCCAGAAATGAGGACACCGTCAGTTACAGTACCTGCAATACTCAGGTATGTGATTGTGGGCTCACACAATGCAGCACTGTCGGGAAGGATTGTAGCGGCACTGACTTTGCAGACTAGGAGAGAGAGAAGGTGGCTGTGCCACTCCCTGAAGTACACCTTTTAGCATTGTGAGTGAGGTGCCTCCAGGATTTCAGCCGTGATAACAATGGGCATTATTCTGGCTAGAGAAAACTAGTGGTTTTGTTAGCAAAAGGGACCCATTGTCTTCCTTGCCTGTGGGAAGGAGGGGCCCCCTAGCACAGTATGCAGACATACTGGGCCATCATCCCCTTGGCCAGCAACCAAAAAGGCGAGAACATGGGGCAGGGTTGCTATTCGGGACGCTACATGAGGTTGTCCATACAGCACCAAGGGTAGAAGAATGAGTTCCTGTGAAGATGAGCCAGATTCATAAAAGCCTTAGTCATTTTCTCTCCTCCTCTCCAGCAGCATCGTGGGTGTAGGTAGGATACTGATCTTCCCTGAAACTTCTCTTCACAGTAATCATCTAGTTAAGCTTTGACAACTAAGGTGCTGCTCTATCCACTCAGTCTGTTCTCTGAATCTGTGTGCCAGACTTGAGGATGCTGTAAAGAACCTAGAATCTTGATGTGGGGAATTCTTTGAATTTAAAAGTGAAATTTATATCTTTGAGACAGTCATTCAACAATATGCCTGAAAACTATATATTACAATTATAAAGGAAAGGGCAAACATCAGATTTATAGAGCAAGTATCAAACCTCTTGCAGCAGCTGTCATAATCCCAGCCAAACACTTGTATTGGAGCGCTGGTAACAGCATCTTTAAATTCAAAAGGAAGTCACTCATCATTGTAGCTAAAGAGTTAAGCCTATAATTCTTATTTTTCTAAATGTTTAAATACTGTAGAGCACCTCATGATACCTCGAATAGTTTTCCCTCTTTACTTCCAAGGTAGGAGCAGTTATTCATAGATGAAGACGAAGTTAAGACACTTAAAGAGTCACAAGATAGGAAGGGCAACCGTATTTCTACTCCTTTGCCTTCTTTATGTTGTGAAGTGAAATGTCCCCGGATGTATTAGTGGTTTCTAAGGTGTATATTATGTATATTTAAGCATAATCTTTGTTTGCTTACCCCGTTGGGATCGTAATTTATATCAGGTAAGCTACAAAATGTATATTTATCTTATTACTTAGTTTATAGGTATAGAATTTATTCCACTGGTGGTATTTTCTTACTGTAATGGACTAGAAATCTTTTGTTTGGTGCTTTGGCAGGATTAGCCTAAGGTGTAATCTCACTTTTGTAGGACTTTGTAATATGAAACTGCTAAGGAGCAAATTTTAATAAGGTTTATATCAAAACTTAGCTGGTTTATTATAGACAATAAAGGAACTACTGGTCTAAAACTAGTAAAAATTTTTTCTCTAATAGGTAATTAATAAAATGTCTCCAACATCTCTAAAGATCACATTAAAACAACTCATGGAGGGGTCTTCAAAGACCTTGCCAGAAGTATTAACTATGGAGTATCGTCTGAGTCAAGCTTGCATGGTAAGACTTTAAAAAAAATTATCATTTTACAGTTATGAACATAATATATGGTCCTTGTAGAACATGTAAAGTACAGAAAACTATAAATAAGAAAATTAAAATTACCTATAAATGTACTCAGAAAACACAGTGGGCCGGTTAGTTTAAGGTGTGTGGAGGTATTGCTCCCAGGCTGTTACTAAGCCTTTATGAAACAGCAGCGATATTATTAGTATGTAAGTGTAAGGTCTCTAACCTTGTATGCAACTCAAAAATAGAAATTAACCATTTTCAGGCATGGTCTCTGACCTTGGGCAAAAGGCATAAACTTTCTAACTGTGAATTCCATCATGGGTAAAATGAGGAATGCTTGTGTGTATATATAATGACAAATGGAAGTTATTAGTCTGTTACATGTTTTACTTAATAGATTAGCATGGAAAGCCCCATTGTAAGTACAGTTAAAATAGGTAGTAACCACATAGAATATTACTGATTTCATGAAACATTTCAGAGTCACAGTCATTTCTTCTTGCAGATGCTAAATTCTTCAAAAGCAGAATCATCCCTTCTGTATTATGTATAGAGGGCCCTGAGATTAATACATGGTCGAAAGGAAGTATTTTCTTCAATAACTGGAAAAAAGACATCTGTAATGGACTTTCATGTGTTGAAATAGTTATTAAGATGTTCAAAGTACTTCCTCTAACCATAGTGAAGCTCTATTAGTGATATCTTAAAGTCACTCCTGGCAGTTGAAGTCTATTGTTATTATGAGTAAGTACTGGGCTAAGTACTTTTACATGCATTTTCTCTATTAAATCTTACACTCTTTCTAGAACGATAGGTACTCCATTGTCTCCATTTTATAGATGAGGAAACTGTAGCATAGAGGAGTAACCTGCCTAAGGTGGTGCAGAGACATGGTGTATGAAACCAGGTGGTTTCACTCCAGGGCCTGCATTCTTGACCACTGTCTGGTATACCTCACACAGCGCATGTTTTTCAGTGTACATTTAGTGCACTGCCTAGATCGATCGATTGATTCCCTCCTTCCTTCCTTCCTTCCTTCTCTCAGCAAGTAGGTTAGCTATGTGCTAGGGACAGTGCTAAGAGCTACGCGGTTCAAAGAACAACACACTGTCCTTTTTCTTAAGGAATTTATAGTGTACCGAGGCTATAAACAAGTAAACAAAATAAGTAATATAATTACAAATTGTGGTAAGTGTTCTAAAAGAAATATAATAGGTTGATGATACAAGACAGTGATGTGAGGGCAGGAGGGAGTGGGGAGGCAAAGGGAAATCTGCGTTGAATAGGTAGGCCAGGGAAGACACCCTTTGAGGCATCAGCTCATCTGTGACTTGAAGGGTGAGAAATGAGTATGTTGAGAAGTTTCTTGGGTTTCAGCAGGTGGTGATTTGTTTCAGTTTGTTTTAAGGTAATTATGCTGCTAAATGGAGATGGGGTTGGAAGGGTTCAAGAGTGGATGTAGAGAGCAGACAGGAATTTATTGCAGTAATCCAGGCACAAAATAGCAATGGCTTAGACTAGGCTGGTGGCAACAGAGAGAACTAAATGGATTTGAGGCAAATGCAGGAGCTAGGCCTTGATGATGGGTGTGAGGGAAAGAATGCATATAGGAATTAGAGCTCAGAGGTGTGGTTTAGGATTTAACTCCGAATGACACTAGCATCAATTGTTTTAAAAGCTGTAGAGATTTATTTACTTAACTAATAAGAGTGTTTACCATATGCTAGGCACTGTTTGAGGCACCAAGAGTACATAAGTAAAAAAAAAAACAGACAAAATCCCAACCCTCAGGGAACTTACTTTGTCATGGGGGAGATGGATCATAAACAGATAAACTTGTAAAATATACTGATTATAGATACTAAGGAGAAAAAAGTAGAGTGGAAAGGGGATATGGATTATAGGGGAGGAGAAGGGGTTTGAACTTGTAGATGGGTTGACCAGAGAAGATCTCATTGAGACGTTGAGCGAAAACCTGAAAGACGTGAGGGAGCGAACTGTGCAAGTGCCTGGAAGAAGGGCACCCAGGCAGAGGGCAAGACAAGTATGAGCGCAGATGCGGGTGTGGGCCTGCCTGTTTCAGGGACCTCCTGGAGGCCTTGCGGATGGAGTGGGGCAGGGGGTGTGGTGAATGAGTGAGAGATGAGGTCAGAGCTAACAGGGTAGGGCTGCCTAGAGCATAGATGGCCTTGAAGGTCTTTATAAGATTTTGGCTTTGTTGTGAGTAAAGTTGGAAGCCACTGGGTGTTTTGAGCAGAGGAGTGACATGATCTGGTATTTTAACAGAATTGACCACTCAGCTGTTTATGAGTATAGAGTGGATAAGATCACATAGAAGGAAAAAATGAGAGCGCGCTGATCGGAGCTCCAAGGAGCTCCGACATTTTGAAGTGGGCTGGAGGAGGAGCAGTGGATGAGGACAGAGGTTGGAGAACCAGGAGAGCGAGGTGTCCCGAAAGCAGGAGAGGAGTGTCTCATGGAAGAGGGACTCCTGCCAAAGCCTCTAGTAGATGAGGATACAGGCATCTGTTCTACCGAAGTTATGAGTGATTTGGGCAAGCCGTTCCAGCGGAGTGTTGGAGCAGAAGTTATAGTGCAGTAACTTGGAGAGGAGAGAAGCAAATGGAAGTTGAAGCGGAAATAGGGTGGACACTGGGACTGTGGTATCAAGTGAGGTTCCTTTATCTTGTATGGTAGAAGATACTAGAACATGGCTATAAATAAGATTGATAGTGATCCGATAGAGGAAACATATTATGTTGATGAACTGCTGATATAATAGTTAACATTTACTGAACATTTACTATGTATCAGGCACTGGGCTGGGAGCAAGATAATCCTATGATGGATGTATTGATATTGCCATTTCAGGAAATTGGGAGTTAGAGAAATTACTATACCAAGGTCGCATAGTTACTATGTAGTAGAGCCAGGAGGTGAACCCTGACATTTGAACCGTATGCATCGGCCACTAAATTACACTGCCCACATTGATGAAGCCAGGAAAAGAAAGAGAGATGGTAACCTCTCAGGCCAGGTCCTCGAGGAGGCAGAGGGAATGTGAATGTGAACGCAGGGGACGACTGGCCTTTGAAGGGGGTCGGTCCCTTCTTCCACCGTTAGGGAAGGGGCGGCACGGTGCAGACGGCTGCCGTTGGTCTGCAGGTGTTTCAGTGGTAGGAAGCAGAGAGTTACATGTGTTAGGGCTGCTGCTGCTTTTTTTTTTTTTTTTTATAAGGAAGTAGAAATTTAAGCTAAGAATATAGTGAGAGTAGAGTTCGGTAGCAGTAGAAGTTGAAGAGACAGAAGGCAGTTGAACTCATCGTCTTGGGGAGTGGGGAAGAGAACATGGACTGTTGGGCAGTTTTCCATGCTTGTTTGAAATTTATGCTCATGAATTTTAAATGAAACAAGTCACAGTTGAACGGTTTTACTGCTGCAAGATTTAGCTGCTCAAATGCAGGCAGAGGCAAATGGTAGGGTTCAGCTAATGCCTGAATTTTGCCAGGACAGAATAAAAGGAAGAAAAAAGCTTGAGGGAGATGAGGACATTTCCAAGGAAAGGTGACCACGTGAATGGACGGGGGAAACTGGGCTGGCTGAAGAGCGAGGTGAAGCCAGAACAAATGGTGAGAAAGTCGTAGGGTCGGCGGAGCCCAGGGTAAGGTTAGGGATTTGCAGCAGCAGAGACGCTTGAGCAAATAAGGGCGGCAGTGACGGTCAGAGCAGCTTATCAGAGTTGGTCCAGTCCCTGATGTCGGGGTCTGGGTTGTGGCCCTGGGAGTGGGGGGCTCATGTTGGGGTAGAGAGACAGCACCAGGAATAAGGGTACTCAGAAATTCTCCACTTAATCTTGATTTTCTTTCAGAGAGGTCATGACTTTAAGGAAGGCGTTAGGGCAGGTAAGTGACAATTTTTTCCCTCCTGTCTATTATGGACATAGAATTTATGAGCATACACTGTTAATCAAAGGTGATAGTTGTTTTATTAATGAAAATTGGACTTGTGTGAAGGTTGCGAAGTATTTAAAAAAAAATATTACCAACTGGCATGTAAGGGAAGATAAGTCTTTGCACCCAGTTTTGTTTAAAAAATTCATATAACCTGGTCATTGCTCCCTAGTTTATATGTAAGAGGTAATCCTGCTTCTACAATCACGTGCTGAGGCAGTGTGAGTTTACCAACTCGTTCGGCTGCTGAGGGCTCTGAGAGGTGCATCGATTCCCATGCAGAGAGCCCTCAGGCCTGGCCCTCACTCTCCCCCAGTGCGGGCGGCCAAGCCCAGCACTGCCCAGCCTCCCATCCGCCTCCTTGCCCGCACCTGAGCGGTTAAACGCTGGCCTTGGACTTAGTCAAATTTGCTAATGTTTTTGTTAATTTCTTTTTGTTTATCATCTTCAGAGTCGGTATACTTAGAAAAGCAAGTGACGTGGTTAATATTTTTTTGTTCCTAGCAAATTTGCAATAATTTTTATGTATATGCCCGTATCCCTAAATAGCTATCATTTCTGTTCTGTTTCTGCATGTACTTTGCATATCTAGTTTTCTTATTTTTTTTATTGATCGCTTTAATATAGTAAAGAATCTAGATATACTTTATCTGAATGAAAGGTTATGTTCTCTGATATAGAAGCTTCAATAAACACTGATCACTATTTGTGGAATTTTCTTAATCTATGACATGATATAGTGTTAGAAATAAGCAGTGGGTTCAAATCCTTTCAGAGGACACATGAAATTCAGAAACCAAGTGAAATATGCATTTTCCCTACTAATTTCCAGCAAATTCTTACTGCATGTGGATCAGCCTAGATTTCTGATTTTAGAATCTGTGTGGGTTATGTTGATCAAGTATTCATTCTATGTTATAGCAACCCTTCTCAAACTTGTTTTTAGATATACTGTTGATTTTAAAGAAGAGTTAAAACCGAGCAGCATCAAAATTTTGATATATAATACAGGTTCTTATCAAGCTTTTTAATAAAGAGAAAGCTTATCGCTTTGTTTTTCAGCATAAACTTTTTATTCAGAATGCAGTATCTATTCTGGGTAAAGCTGTCTGGTGTTTTGGATAACCAAATGCTTCAATTTGCTAATTATAAAATATGTTAGCAAATTAGATAAAATAAACTAGCAAGTTAGGGGAATGGTTGTCAAAAATTTTTACTCTTAACATCTCGAACAAACTTCCTGATTGTAGAAGAAAATAAAAAGAGATTAGCTTAGAGCGAGAGAGCTTACCAGTTGGAATTTGAGTGTGTCTGGTGAGACCTGAAAAACCCGGGCTGCCTAGAGAGCAAGAACTTGTGGAATCTGTGCCAGGCAAAATTTCCTGTTAGTCCAAAATAAAATAATACTTAGATTTTATTATTCTGTCCTTTTGCCCTTCAGTAGACTGTCAAAGAGGTAGATAGCATTGGCCGAAGGGCTTTGAAGGGATCCTTGTAGAAAGAATGTTCCAGGATTTTTATTTACATTAAGGGAATGTAAAACTTTCAGATTGGCAGGGATTATAAATCAGTGTTCAACCTAATGATACTGGAATCCTGAAGTTACACAGCCAAACCTGAAAAACCGCTAGTATCCACATTTAATTATGGATGAAGCTCCCTTCCCTCTACCTTCTCAGGCAGCCTGCTTCCTTGGTTCCCAGATTGCTTCTTTAATTATTTAGCTTTTAATGCTAAATGTGTTTTTTTATAGGTTCACTGTAGAGTTTGTATGTTTAAATAATTTTCATTCTTCACAAGAACTAAGCACATTTTAAGCATGGTTAAAATACCATACCACAACCATTCTAAATATAGCCCCCTTCCCTAAAAAAAAAAAGTGTTTTGTTTTTTTTTTAGGTAACTGTAGATTCACATGCAGTTTTAAGAAATACCATAGAGCACCAATTTTCAACTGGTATACTACAACAATTTTTAAACCATGAAATACTTGACTAGTCAGGAGCACTGACCTCTTTTCCCTTAGATTGTCAAATAAAAAAATGAAAACAGCCAATACAATATCTGTCCAGTGTTAATCAAAATTATAACTATTTTTTGTCAGCAAAAAATATCTTTTTCGGTGTGCCGTAGAGATTTAGTAATCGGTTTGTGTGCGCCATGAGATTAACGGTTAAAAACTGCTGTTAGAGATCCCGAGTACCCTCCACCCAGTTTCCCCACTGGTAACGTTTGCATAACCATAGTATACCCTCACAGCCAGGAAACTGCCTTCCCTCTCCCTCTTTAAAGGAGGGTATACAGATGGCCTCATACTTACTGTAATCCTGTGGGGTTACTATATGGCCACACTAAATGATGACTACATTGAAATAGGAGAAGTAGGGTTTCTGATAACCTTGAAGATGGGCTGGTATTTTAATTCAGAGCTATGTGAACTAGGGGACTCAGCAAAGTGGCAGTACCACCTTTAATTATGCATAAAGCCCCCTTTCCTCCACTTCAAGTAATTTTCCTCTCAGCTCATTGTGGAGGACGTCCTGGACCCTTTCCTGCCTTCCCTTTAAACCACACCAACTCTGGTTTTTGCTGTTTTACGAGAGGGAGAGTTCGTTTACTATTTGGTGTGAAGGAGAAAAGAGTTCTAGGCCTTCAACCACTGCATTCGTTCAGTAGGCAGTATTCAAGCTAGAGGTATCGATCGGACTCAGCAGGTTAGAAAATAACCACATGCTCATCATCACTACATTGCTGTCCCTTCAAAATCTGTGGGGACTTAATTTATAAGGAAAATAGAGCACATACAACAATTCAAACTTTTAAGAAGAGTGCTATAGAAAATATGCCTCGTACAAGAGAGTTTGTCAACTCAGTAATTAAAATCTGGCAATACCAGAAAGAAATGAACTAACATTTTTTATGTCTTCACTTGACAGTTTTAATAGATAAAGACCAGAGTCCAAAGTGGAAACCAGCCACTCTAAAAGAAGTTACTGATGAAGATTTGAAAAATTCCTTTAAATCTCTGGGAAGCAATGATTTGAAATTTTGAAGTGACTGGATTTGGAAGGTATTTTGGAGCAGGGGTCAGCAAACTATGACACATGGCCCAAATCTGGCCTGCTCCCTGTTTTTTATATATTCCTCAAGCTGGGAATAGTTTCTGCATTTTTAAATGAACGGGGAGAAAAACCAAAGACTAATTTTTCATGACCTGTGAAAATTGCATGAAATGCAAATACCAGTGTCCGTAAATAAAGCTTTATTGGAACATAGCTGTACTCATCCATTTACATATTATCTATGGCTGCTTTGAGTAATTGTAGCAGAGACAGTTAAGACCTGCAAAGCCTAAAATATTTACTATCTGGTCCTTTTCAGAAAAAGTTTGCCAACACCTGTTTTAGAAGATGGGAAATTTGAAGGTCTCTAGAGATTCTTGTGTTAGTATATCTAATTAAAATGGGAACTTCATGTTATAGCTTTTGGTAGCGGTTTGTGTTTTGGTTAAATAAATGTATAGATTATAAAAAATAAAAACCCTGACATTTTTTTGATACTCTGTTAATGTTTCATAGAATTTTCTTCATATATCAATCTGTTTAAAAGTAATTGTGAGTTACCATAGCAGAAGTGTTCCTTTCATAACATTTGAAATCTCAGGCAAAGATTTTTGTAAAGTTGTCTTTTCAGTATTATTAACTTAGCCTTGGCATTTTCTAAAGTTAACCACAATCCCTACCTGTGGCAAAAGTGAATTATTTTTTGCTCTTTGCAATATTTGCTAACATGACAGAATGAGGGATTAGGAAACTCTAATTGCTAAAATAGACTCTTTTTTTCTGCGATTTACATCAAAATTTTATGTGATTTTTGTCCTTACACAGTTTAAATCAGGAGGGAAAAAAATGAAAACAAGAGGACTTTAAAGTGAAGTAAATCCTTCAGTAATTGGTACTCTTGACAAAATAACTTAGGAGGTACACAAACTGCAAGGTGTTTGCGACTTGGGACCTTAAAGTCTAGGAAGAATAATTTTGTGTTAAAGATCAGTTTATCATTTATTTTGTAACTTGTATAGTTTTTCCTTCATCATGAATCCTGCAAAAACTAAGAACTTCAAATTTATAAGAACAAAAGGTGGCAGAACTGAAAATGACATCAAAGATTTTATCTTGTACCTTCCTTATAGATGGGGAAATTGCAGTCTAGAGAATTGCTTTAAATTTTGTTCTTAATATATTAAACAGGAAGTATTTTTCTTCCAAAAAATTAGGAACAGATTTGGAATAAATACCCCATGACAATGGCCATGTTTACATTTATATTGCTAGAGCTCCTCAGTTGGACCTGAATGATCCAAGAATCACTTGTAAAGGTGGATTTTTATTCACTTTGTATTTGTTAGAAATGTGGAAAATGTTGCCTTCTATGCGAAAGGTTTGAAAGTACACTGTTGAAAAGCATTTGCTTACTGAAATTAAATAGGAACGCATAGCTGGTTAGTTGCAACTAGACTTTTATTGTACAGTTACCAAAAAATATTGTACAGACACAAAAATATTTGGAAAAAATATACCATTTTATAGTTTAGTGTTACAGGGACGAGAATTTGCTAATAAAACTTGAGTTTTGCAAAGTCAGATTTAGGGCATGCACCTGAGCTTGTGCCCAGTGCTCCAAGCACAATGTGTCCTAGTTGGTCACACAAATACTGGATGCGGGCGTTATGAGTAAGCAAACAGTGTATTTGTAAGAACTTTGTTTTTAAATTACTGTTTGTTGACATTATTTATACTGTGTCTCTAACTTTTGATTTCTACAACTGTATAATACAAAAGTACAGTTCTTCCATTTCATAAAATGTCAATGATTGAGTAGGATATAGGAGTATCATGCATTGCTCATTCACTATTTTTAAAACTAATAAGGCAGTTTGACACAAATTATTCCGTTGGGACTATGATCATTTTTATCCCCTTCAAAATTGTGCTTTAGGTGCTAATAATAATCATAGGCAGTTTGCAGAGAACGGGTAAGGCAACTGAAAGTGGAGAACTCACGTCACAGGCCTGTAACGGAAAGGTCCCTGAACTGGGGAAGGGGCGGGGAAGCACGCCTGTGGGTTGTGCGTCTTTCTGTGAATGAGGAACTGGCACATTTCCTCTGATAATCTGCTGCTTCCGCCATGTGCCACCTGCCGGTTCTTTGTTGCGTGGGTAGCCACTCATCTGCCCCCGTACTGGATCCAGTGGCTGGGCGTGTGTGTCAGTGTGGTAAAGTGCTGCTGGGTCCTTTCCCTCAGTGGAAAACACTGGAAACTTGTCTTCGCAGTGCGTCTTCCGATGGAGTTCGGCATTGGTGCTGTTCCTCGGGCTCGCTTTTCCTGGTTTTTCTCTCCCTTACTCTTTGGCCATTATTCTTACTTCATCTGTGTTTGTGATACAAGTTGGAACAGATGTTTCCCAGTAGCTAATAATTCTTTCAGTCTTCTGTTTTATATGTCTTCTCCCTCAAACAGTCCTTTTACTCTTTATTGCTCATGCAAGAGTAAATCTAATGTTTAAATATGAAGATAGGAAAGCTGAATATCCTTTTAAGGATGCTCATATCTTTCTTGTCATCAGCGCCAAACTGTATCTTGATGACTACCATGAGCAGTATAAATCTGCTTATCCAACACTTTCTCCTGCCTGCTTCCAACTTGGTTTATCCACGAACACTGATTATGCAAGCCTTGTAGTTCCTTGTGCGTGGTTTGACATATAACATGGCATACATGTCCAAGATAAGTCTCTGCATGTCACAGGATATTATACTCTGTTAAAATGATTCAGGGACGAGAGGATAGTGCTTGGCGACAAAACCATACTGCCACAGTGTCCGAGAGGGTAGCAAGAGTTTGCACTTCCAGCTAGATTCAGATCTGGAGGATATCCCATACCCCTGGGAAGTAGGGGCCCAGGCAAAGGTTAAAAGGTTAAAAGATTAGATATAACCAAAACCCAGTAGTCTGTGTCCCTGTGTGTGCCGAAAATTTTAGTGTGATGTGCTGCTTTTCCTATGGCTTTGTGTTCTCTCTGTCATACGTATTATTTTATATACCACATTTACCTTTCAGCAAATGACCTTGCAGCAAAAGTGTCCCGATGTGAGAGAGAAAATGAATGAATGAAAAGTGGCAATATCTAGGCTTTTATCTGACTCAGAATTAACACTCAGAAACCTAAATTTTTCTTTGTGAGCTAGAAACATGTTTTGCAGTTTTAGGAAACTTTCTGTTCTCAGCCCTATACAAACGGGTGGTTGTTTTTCTATTTTCTCGGTTGCTAAGATGGCCTAGGACTAGGTGAAGTGAAAGTTGAATGACCAAATGTCCGAAGATAATGGGAACATGGCACCTCATTCACTTCAAAAGAACTATCTTTGCCCAAGTAACTTAGAGAATTCACTCTATTTGATTGTGGGTTTCAAAGTATAATCGTTAAAATTAGAGGTAGCATTTCTGTCTGTCTAAAAGGCCAAATGCATGTTTATCTCATTATGGAGGTCACAAGCCTTTCTCTGCCTTCCTTTAGATTTCAGTGACAGAGTCTGTTGTATCTTAATGAAAGGATCTAACGCAAATGGGCTTAAATAATTCCCTTTCCAGTTAAACTCAATGTGTAGCAAAAATTTTGATGTCAAGATAATTCTGGAGACTCAGTCCCAATCTTCCTTTAACTTATGTCTTAGTATCTTCTTTCTCTCCTAAACTTTTTGTCACCAGTGATCTCAAACAGTACTAAATTCTTATTTTTAAAAAAGGATTCCTAAAACCAAATTTATGAAAATAGCATATGGCTATAAATGCTCTGTGGGAACTGTTACCATAAAAAAACAAAAACAAAAACACCCTAAAAACTAACCCTCTACATCTGTGAGAAGCAAAGCTTAGTATACATTCAGCACTGAGACCAGATTATGCTTTTTCCCTTGCCAACTAGGGCTTCTGTTGTTTTAAAATGTATTGGATTGCTGTTTATAAAGGTACCCAAACTTGGTTGCTTCTGTAGTTATATTAATGTATCACTGGGCTTAATTCAGTGAGATAAACAATAATGTCATGACTTCTGTAAATTGTATCTTGTGAAATGCCTTATACAAAAAGTGTGAGCCATCCAATAAGAGTGGATTTAGGGCCCTGAGGGTGGATCCCTTCTGTGCGGGTTGCTCTCTAACACTTGATCATTTTTGTTAAGAAGTAGGGATCCTTAACACAAACAGTTTTGACAAACAAAACCTACTGCTAATCGCTATGGCTTGAGTGCCATTCACTGCCAAGACATTTCAAGAACAATCCTTTTCATATCTTGGTTTTGGTGTAAATTAATATTACTTTAAAGGAGTGTCTTTAAATCATTTGGGGTCTTGGAGCATTTTTAAATTTTTATTTCTTTGGTGATGCTATATTGTCTGAAACTATATGTGACATAGAGCTGATTACTGTCAGCCCTTTAAGTGACTACGATCCAAGAACAAGCAGACAGAAATTGCTATTACCATACAACTGCTTAAAACACATTTCATTTTAGGCATTCCTGTATTCTTGATATGATCATAGACTGATTTTTTACATTCAGATGGAACCAATATTTATTCATATAACATTCTGCTTTCATTTCATGTGTTTAAACTAGCACCAACTATATCCATAGTTCAAGAAGGTATCATAATTCTCCAGCATCAAGGCCCCTCACTCTCAATGAATGGGATGTCACAGTACTTGATGTTACTGTCTGCCCACTGCTGCAAGGCATCGCTCAAGATTTCCTGGGACAGGCGGTGTGCAAATTCAAAGACTACAATTTCGGACTCTGTGGGTTCCTTCACTTCCTCTCTGATAACTTCAGAAGGCATCCTAGGTTGAAATCTCTCATCTGACATAAAGCTCTCTGCACTTGCGTGCTGCTTGTCACTCTCAATTGTGGTAGGAAATGGGAAAGTTTGCTTTGATTTCATGCAGCCCATGTTATGAAGAACTTTGAGTGAAGCAAAGCAGTAGGAAAGACTAACTACTTCAACAGCATCTTTGGAAAACAGTGAGCATCTGTCCGTGTGACGTTAACCAGTGCTTTTTCTCTCCAGGCCCCTTCAGCAATCACTGTTCCCTTTACCACTCTTCACATACAGTGTTTATCTGTCAAGAGAAGAGAAGTTTCACTGTGAAGGTATAGAACACAAAATAATATATGATTATGTAGCATGCAGAAACAGTCTTTTTTAACTCTTTGGTCCCTTGGAGAAAATGTGAGGTACCTCAAGTTTTATCTGATTAATAGAAGAAAGGATAGTCAGTCAAAAATGGCAAGTTACAAACTATGATAACATTTTTAAAGCTCTTCAAAAGTTTAGAAAACTGAAAACACAGTTAAACTTTTGCTAGCTTAGATGTGTTTATGTTCACCAAGGATCAACAACCTCTATGTAGTCTTTGGGCCAAATTCTGGCTGCCTGTGTTGGAAAGGAAGTTCATGAGACGCAGCCATGCCCATTCGTCTTCATATCATCCATGGCTACTTTTTTTTTTTTTTTTTTTTTTTTAATTTTTGTGAGTATCAGGTGGGTTCTGTTCTTGAGCTTTCTCACTCTGCAAGTGTTTTACACGAGCTGGCTACAAATCAGGGGATCAGACACGAACAGCGTATGAACACTCTTAACAGTAGATTGTGGAGACTGAAGGGCAACTGCACCACCTGCTCGCTCCAGGTGGGAGCTGAGTGGACAGGTGAGATGCAGAGGTCACAGAGCCACATGAATGAACAAACTCGGTTTTGGCCAGGGCCTAGGTGTCCGAGGCCAAGGTGCCAGAAGTAGTGGTGGGAGCTACTATCCAATACAAAGGCACAGAGCTACGATCAAAGGCTCACAGACTACATGCACACGACCTAACAGCATGGCCAGTAGCACGTCCTGGTCTGGGGTCCCAGGTGCAGCGCCCCACCCAGCATGACCTGGGTTGGCTCCCGTGCATCCTTCTCTAGGTGGTCCTCATTCACTGGGCGGCAAAGTGGTTTTGTTTTTCAAGCTAAAATTGGACCGACCAATTGACAGTCTTTGTCAGGTCTATCTGGTGGCATCCAAGAGGAATCTTTTGAAATACTTTCCTCTTTGTCTTATCCATATCCACACTGTCTAGGTCAGTACCTTTAGACAGAAAAACAGCATCAAGTGAATTGCTGGCTCTGTCGCCCTTCTTCCTGTTTTTCTTGTTCTTGTCCCTGGGCTGAGGGGAAGTCGGTCAGCACCAGGCTGCTGCTGTGCGTGTGCTCGATGGGGCAGGCCAGCTCTGCCAGGCTGGCTGGTCTTCCCCTCCTTGATGTGGTTCAGATGCTGCTTGGTGGGGGTGGGGGGGGGGGTGGTGGTTTCTCCCCTCTCTTCGCTCCACCAGAGAAGTGAGGTCAAGCACTTTAAACTTTGGCTTACTCTGGGGCCAGGGTCTGGGCTGGCCCTTGGAGGTTCTGGGGACTCTGTGGGCCTTTGTGGGCCTCCTGCTTGGCTCACTGCAGGCCTTCCCGGCCTGTTTCCGTTTCTGTTTGCTAGTCTCCTCTTTGTGGTGATGTATTACGTCCAGGAGGAAACACAGCAGCTCCTGCTGCTTCCCACTCACCTTCTCAGGCCGGAGGAACTTGGAATCCCCTAATGTCCCTGGGTCCACTGAATCCCCATCCGCTCCTGGCCTGGACTCCGTGTGGTCAGTGAGTCTGGAGGGGAGTGAGGTGAGGTTTCTGATTCTTCGGCCTCCTCTAGGGAGCCACTGTGCAAGTGCAGAGTCAGGCACAGACTCTGTTGCTCTCTGGACAGTCCCAGCAAATATGTCAAACTTGGGATAGTCTTTACTTGGCCTCTCCTCCCTCCTCTTTTTCACAGCTCAGCGCTTCACAAGCTCCTGCAGCTGCTGGCACTCCTCTAATCTGTGGCCACTTTCATAATACAGTGGCAGAGTTGGGTCGCTGTGACAGACCATGGGCTGTCTGGCCCTTTATGTTTGCCAAACTGACCTCTACTGTTAAGGGAAACAAGCATACCAAAATTTGCTCCTGCCTCAAACCTCATGAACCTGCGCATCTTGGGTTGTCGTTAGAATCAGGCTTTGTTCCCTGGCCAGATGCTTACATCTCAGAGTGGGACAGAATGATGGCCTTTACACAAGTGCCAACAATTCAAAGAAACACAAGTTAGATGTGGCAAATTTTTCTTCTGAATTAGATACTCCCTATGAAAAGCTCAGATTAATTTAAGATAAGGTTAAAAGTTTCTCATCCTAAATATCTCATTCTTTTTTTAAGATTTTATTTATTTTAGAGAGAGGGGGAGGTTGGGAGAAAGAGAGGGAGAGAAACACTGATGTCAGAGAGAAACATCGATTGGTTGCCTCTTGCACACACCCTGACCTGGGACTGACCCTGCAACCCAGGCGTGTGCCCTGACTGGGGATTGAACTGCCAAACTCATGCTTTGCAGGACGACACCCAACCGAGCCACACTGGTCAGGGCTAGTAACTCATTCTCAATCTTGTTTGATATGTTGACAAAAAGGGGGTGTTACAATAAACCATAAATTCCTAACTGGGAAGGTAAGGTGGGTAGTCACACTCAGGCCTGTAACTTCTTTATTTAAAAGTTTTAAGGCAGTCTTGTCCCTTGTTTTTGTGCATCTAGGTTAACACGCCATTGAAATGCCAGAAGTAATACCTCTTGAAGGTGAAAGCACCCTTGAGAAAGCTCATAATCTTGTAATCCAGACCCTGCCTTGCTTCCTCCACCTTCATGTAACCTTCTTCCTTACATTCTTTCCTTAATTTCAGATGCATAAAAGAAAGTGTGAACTTATTCTCTGAGCATTTTAGATTTTACTTTCAGGCATTAGTCATCAACTTTGGCTCAAATGCATAAAAATTCTTGAGAATTTCCAGTCAAGATGGCGGCACAGGCAGACGTGGCTCGCCTCTTCACACAACCACATCAAAACTACAGCTGAAACACAGACCATCACTCAGAACCGACAGATACTGAGTTGAATAGAAGTATGACAGCTACAAAATTGAAAAAACTACATCCATCCAGACTGGCAGGAGGGGTGTGGAGGGGCACAGACACAGAATGGGCAGATCCCACCCCATGTGTGGTGGGTAAAAATCTCGGGAGTGAGGAGCCCAGCCCCACAACCAGGCCCCCCAGCCCAGGGCTCCAGTGCCAGGAAGATAAGTCCCCACAACTTCTGGCTGCAAATACCAGTGGGGATTGAGTTGGTGGAAGAAATTTCTGGAGCCCCAAGCAGTTCCTCTTAAACTCACAGATTCACCTACCCAGACTCACTCCCTCTGGGCTATAGCAACAGAGTGGTGGCTTGAGGGGCACCAGTGGTACACAGCGGGAGGCTGAGGTATCTGGCATCAAGGTGAGCAGAGGCCATTGTCCCTTTTCTGAGCCCTCCCTGCAGCGAGCTGGCAGACTGGTGCCATATCTAAGATTCCATGAACCTTGCTAACACTGTTTGATCCACCTTGGTGATCGATCCCCAGAGACTCCATCCTAGCCAACTTATGGGCCTACCCAAGCTGCTTTTCCATATGAATGGTCTTGGCTAATGCTTTATAACTTCCTAAATCCTCTCAAATAAGCAGCAGTTGGCCTCAGTGAGCCCCAAACCTGGAATTAGTCTAGATTCATAGCTTGGCTTTGCCTAGAAATCTCCAAACCCAGCAGAAGTAGCAGCCATCTCAGATTGCTTTATAGCTCAGGCAGGGTGACCCCAGACAAAGCACAGGTCGGGGCTGCCTTGGCTGCACCATCCAGGAAACCCCAGGGCCTGCGCGCCTAGTGGGCAGCTATAGACCACATCGGAGCACCAGCACCCTGCCCCTGCACAGCTGATCCTCCGCAGAGGGTGGAGGTTGGTGGTAAGTGGTAACAGCCAGTCCTTGCAGATGACTGGCCTGGGAAGACCCCTTCCATTGATCTGGCAACAACAACCAAGGGTGCACTTGAAGGGTGCATCTTGATACCCAGCTTGGGTGAAGGGGGAGGTTGTGCCACTGGACGCTACAGAACACCTGTGACATTAGGCCATATTACCAAGACACGGAGTCAAAGCAGCTCTACCTAATACATAGAAACAAACACAGGGAGTCTTCCAAAACAAGGAGACAGAGAAACATGACCCAAATGAAAGAACAGATCAAAACTCCAGAAAAAGAGCTAAATGAAATGGAGATAAGCACTCTATCAGATACAGTGTTCAAAACACTGGTTATAAGGATGCTCAAGTAACTTAGTGAGGACCTCAGCAGCATAAAAAAGACCCAGTCAGAAATGAAGGGTACACTGATTGAAATAAAGAACAATTTACAGGGAATCAACAGTAGAGTGGATGAAGCTGAGAAATCAATGATTTGGAACATAAGGAAGGAAAAAAAAAAACAACACGAAGAAAATCCAAAAAAACAAGGATAGTGTAAGCAGCATGTGGGACATCTTTAAGCAATCCAACATTAGCTTCATAGGGGTACCAAAAAGAGAAGAGGAAGAGCAAGAAATTGGAAATCTATTTGAAAAAAATAAAGAAGACTTATTTGGTGAAGGAAATAGACATGCAAGTGCAGGAAGCAGAGTCCCAACCAGGGTGGACGCAAAGAGCCCACTCCAAGACACATCGTGATTAAAATGCCAAAGGTTAAATATAAAGAGATGGGAGGGTGGGAGTGGGAAAATTGGTGAGAGGTGAGGGGATTAAGTTCAAATAGGCAGTTACAGAATAGCCAACTATATGACATTCTGGAAAAGGTAAGCTCTGGTTGTCAGGAATTAGAAAGGAGGGAGGGTTCAATAGGTGGAGCCCAGGGGATTTTTAGGGCAGTGAAGTAACCGTACAGCACTACAATGATGGGCATGTATCATTATATATTTATCAAAATCCATAGACTGTACAATACCAGGAGTGAATCCTAATGAAAACTATGGACTTAGGGTGATCCCAGTCTGTCACTGTAGGCTCACGGATGGAGTACTCGGGTGGGATGGCGGTGGCGGGCGAGGCTGGAAGGGTGGGGTGACAGGGGATCGCTGTACTTCCTGCTCAGTTTTTCCATGAACCTAAAACTGCTCTAAAAAATAAAGTTTAGTTAAAATCCAACTATA